AGAAGGGAGAAAAGAAGAAAGTGGGTCAAAGCCCAGATGGTTACGTTTAGAAGATACCTAAGATAATAACCATTGCTTTACATAGTTTTATTTACTAGTGCAGTGCGAATAGCAGATAAGTTTACATTTAAGAGTAGAAGTAGTAGAATAAAACTTCATGTAAATCAGTTTTGAAAAACTGTAGATACTATGTTTAGAAGTAGAATTGCTAACCCACCTCTGAGAACAGTACTGGCTGTACTTGTTCAGTGGATTGAAGAGGTGTGTGGGGGGGAAGAAACTGCAAAAGATTCCATTAGTGTGCTAGATAGTTTTAGCTTACCCATCACCCCGTATATATACTTCATTTAACTTTGCTATACTGTATATATTGTACATACTGGACAAAGGAGTCCTAATTTTAGTATCTAGGTATTAAAGAGGTTGCCAGTGTATGGCAAAAGAAGAGTCAGTGAACTAGCCCATTTTATATACTCTGTATTAAAAGTCATAACATGGTTGTCTTCTGAAAGGAGTTGTGAAAGTATCATCCAAATGTCAGGTGCCTGTGTCACATGATACAGAGGAGGGGCTAGAGAGAAAGGAGGGGGGAGACCAGAATGCTCTCAGCAGAAGACACTTTGAGATCTACTCATTGTTACATGTGTGTGGTTTTAACACTACTCTGTATATAGATAGGGGACACATTTATGTCCTCATCTGAGACATCTAGTCCTTCTAGGTGTTTACAAGTACACAAAGTATGGTAAAGGTAGACGTAGTAAATAATACATGTTGTAGATTATTCTGTAGATTATTCTGTTTAAACTCGTGGTGAAATGCTGTCTTTTGACAATGGAATGCTAAAAATCACTTCTGAGCAATATAGACGTGTGCTGGTTTGGGAGGGAGAAAGAAAGAAAATGTTATGAAGGGCCTAATACTAATGTACATTTTGGTAATGAAGATTAGCCATTGTCCCTTTTATCTGTGCCTCTTCTTTTTGCAATGTGTGGTGTATAATAATTCAAACAAGTTCAAATATGCAGCACTTAGTCTTCCTAGATGGTGAAGAGGCTGCCAGTGTGTGACAAAGTAGAGTTAGTGAAAAGACATGTTTTAAAGTAGTGTTAAAATTCATAGGAAAAAACTCATAATCATTTAGAACGTGAAATTGTTAATATCCCCCACAAAAAACATAATTTACATAAACTGGGTTAAGAGAAATGGGGAGAGGTTCTAGACCAGAATGTTGCTATTTATAGGTATGTGCAGTTTATTTACTGCACTGCATTGTACATATGCTGGGGAAACAGAAGTGTTAGTGGAAACATCTAGTCTTTAGACTTTTAAGTTCATAATAGATTTGGTGCGGTAATGCATACCTTTAATCCTAGGTTGAAGCAGGTGGATCTTGTGAGTACCAGACCAGCCAGGGCTACATAGACTTTGTCTCAAAACAGTAAGAAAATGTGCATAATGGGCTGGGTGTGGGGATGGCCCAGCAGATAAAGGGGCTTGGCACCCAGCTGGTGGCCTGAATTTGCTCTCCAGGATCCCCATGATGAAAGGAGAAAATTGATTCACAAATTGTCTTATAGCCTTATACCAGTGGCATGCATGTGCTCAGATGTACTAATTAATAAATGTAAAAAACGCAAATGGTAAAAATAGAGAGTTAACACCTTTTAAGGATTATTATTTCATAGGAATGGTTATGGTGGGTGTGGAATTGTTAAGCTTTATCTTTGAGCAGATAACTGTTACCAGGTGGAGGTAAATAGGGGAAAGAATAGTGCAGGGCAAGGCGCTGCCCGTTGGTTGTTTCCACCGGTCTAGCCACTGTTCCTGTGTGCATTTCAGTTAATGTTGAATGTTGCCAAGTATTAGAGGATAAGTCCCAGTGCCCAAAAGAAGGGCTGTCTTCTGGGGGTGACCTTCATAAGACTGGCAACATTCTGGACAGGAGTTGTGCAGAGAAGAGGGCGGATGAAGGAAGAGCTCTTTGCTAGGCCCACCATATCTAGAAAACAGCTGTAGACAGGGATCCATATGTGCGGACACTTGTGTTTATTGTTTACGAAGTTTATCCCACAACATCTGAACTTCATGAATGTCCTAAAGGAGAGCATAGGGTTAAAATTATAACTTCATAGATTGACAGAAAATGCCTCTTGTTAAGTCATGTCTGGACTTAGGTGAGTCTTCAGTGCTCCACAGGAATACATTTATTGAGCAGGAACACACCTTCACATTTTAGTATATAGATCTGGTGATAAACTTAGGAATGCTGTACTTAGTTGGTCTGTTGCTTTGTGTTTCCTTATAAGCTGAACATTGAGGGAATGCAGAATTTTAATTGTAACTTCACCAGTACTTCTATCTAGAAGCCTGCTGCCATTTTTGTCTTCTATGAAATTTTTGTTACCAAGGAAGACAGGATTATAGTTTTGTCTGACAGATTGAGATGGCATGGTGTATTCTTGGTTATCAAAATACTCATGTATCGTGGGATTTTAGTTGGTGAATATTCACATTGTGGGGGAAAGCTTGATACATACTGTATAATCTCAATTCCCTAAATGTATGTACATTGCAGCATCTAGAAGGACACAGCAAGCTGAGCTGCTTGTGACTGGGAGACTGTTCTTGGCTTCTTGTGTTTTGTTTCCTGTATGCTCATACTACAAAATAAATAAAAGCATCGTTTAAAAGGTTTAAAAAAGAAACAATATTGTTTTACATGACAATCCCATTTCCCTTCTCCCTCTTGTCCTCCTCTACCAGCTCCCCCTCAACTAAAACCCTACCTATCACATATCCGTTCTGCTCCCCCTGGATGGTGAGGCCTTCCATTGGGTGTCGTAAGAATCTATGATATCCTTTTGGATAGGGCCTAGGCCCACCTCCGTGTGTCTTTGCTCAGGGGTATTCCTTTATGTGGAATGGGCACCAAAAGTCCACACCTGAACAACTACAGGAGGTCCTGTAGATTTCTGGGGTTTCCTCACTGAGACCCATGTTCCTGGGGTCTGGATTAGCCCTGTGCTGGTATCCCAGCTATCAGTCTGGGGAGCAAGCGTTCCCCGAAGTTCAGGTCAGATATTTCTGTGGGTTTTATGAGCCTTGTCTGGACTCCTTTGCTCTACACTTGTCCTTCTCTGCATCTAGATTCCAGTTCAGTTCATTGATTAGTTGTGTGTGTCTGCTTCTACTTCCACCAGCTGCTGTATGAGTGCTATCAGCTGGCATATAAGTCAGTCATCAATCTCATTATCATGGGAGGGCATTTAAGGTAGCCTTTCCTCTGTTGCTTAGATTGTTAACTGGTGTCATCTTTGTAGATCTCCAGACATTTCCCTAGTACTGATTTCTCTGTAAACCTAAAATGTCTCTATTATAGTATCTCCATTCTTGTTATCTTCTATTCTTCTCCTGACTCAACCTTTCTTCTCTCTCATGTCCTCTGCATCCCTACTCTTCTCCCCTTCTTGTTCTCCTAGCTCCCTCCCCCCTCTTCCTGTGCTCCCAATTCCATAACATATATTCTTGAGATGCAGTGTTTGTATATACAACTGGTAGTCCTTTAGCTCCTAAGATAACAAAACTCTCTTGCAATGATAAATCTTTCTGCTAAGCTGCCTGAGCCCTGCCACCACGTGGGCACCCGGAATAACACACAAAAATTAATATTAGGTATAGTGTTGTTGGTCAATGACTAGGATTTCTTACTTGCTAGCTCAGTCTTAATTATCAACCATATCTACTAATCTATGTATTTTATAAGAACTTATCTGATCGAGGATGCCGGCATCATGCGTCCTCCCTTATCAGGCTCATATGGTGGCTCCCAGAGAGAGGAGGGGAAAGGGGCAATTTACTGCTTGTCCCTGCTTATATTATGAGTTTGCCTGCTATGCCATTTCCTGCCTGGATCACAAGACTTCTCTACTATATTTCCCAGAATCCTCCTTCTCTCCTAGTCCTGCCTAGATTTATCGTTACACTCTCTGGCTTCAGTCTTTCAAGGAGCTGAACCACAGATACCTATCAGAGAACTGAATTGGCTATTGGCTTGAACTGATGAAGACAGCTGGGTTGTAGCTCATTAGAAGTTTTATAAATCATTTGTAGATATGAGAAAACTTGGTGATTGGGAAGAAATGGATATGGAAATTTGACAGTCAACTATCACCACTGTAGAGATTTACCCCAAAACTTCTAAAGAAGGGACAGAATCAGATCTAGGGTTTTACACCTGTCAGATAATAACTGTGCCACTGAACTACACGGGACATTTTTATTCTTTGGTAAATTCAGGCATTAATACAATGTGTCATGTGCAACCCTACACCCCAGTAACCCCCAGAACCCCCAAACTTCCACCATAGTCTCCTTCTGACATCATTATTTCTCTTCCTCTTCTTCTTTCTCCTACTCCTTCTTCCTTCTTCTTTTCCTTTTCCTTCCCCCTTTGGTAACCCATTCATTGAAATTAGTTTTTAATCACTTTTGTACTTCTTATGTGGAGAGAAACCATAACTAAATATCTCAGCCTTGCCTGGATCTTGCTCTATAGCTCAGACATTTTTAACTTGTGATTCCTATCCTCAGACCTCTAAGTACAAAGGACTGCAAATATATGTTCTGAACTTCATTTATTTTATTTTGCCCTTGTACATAAAGGGCAAGCTCTCAACTCCTGAGTTACGCCCCTAATCTTACAACTTCTTGAAATGTTTACTACATGTGTCTCATGACTAGACAATCATGCTCTGGCTTGTAAATCCAAAAATGGAGTACATGTGATCATATGAAATCATTTGTGAGACTATTCACACAACTTTATTAAAACCAAAACCTAGGAGTGGAGGCTCATGCTTATACTTTAACCATGCAGGCAGTGATATCATGAGTTGAGTGCATACCTGGGCTACATAGAGACCTTGTCCAAAGAAGAAGAAGAAGAGCAAATAAGCAAAAAAAAAAAAACAATAAACAAGTGAAAATAAGTAGATATTTATAGTTAGGGTAAGTGAATAGAATGTGTCATGTGCACGGTTGGACAGCACAGTTCTACAATAAAAGGAAACAGAAACTTCATGTAAAGTGAAGAGTCACATGTAAAATAGAGAGTTACAAAACATTCTACTTAAATCTCATTGGAGACAAGTCCCAATATACCA